TGTAGAATGGGGATAATACTAGAGCAGATCCACAGGTTCATTCCTCACCCACCCACCCAATTGTCTTGTGTCATGGTTTGTCTGGATGTGATAAGGAAGACCCAGGTCAGTGGCCTGGACCCAGGAGGACAAATACCCTTTAAATAGCTGGCCCCAGGGACACACACACTGGGAGCAGAGACAACACCTAAAGGTGTGGAGCTGGCAAGTCCAGGGAAGAATGGAGGAGCAGGTCTGGGTGGAGAACTGGCAGGTGGAGAGCCAGCAGCAGAGGGCTGGAAAAGCGGGCAGGAACAAGCCAGCCTGCCTGCTGAATGGGTAGCATCAAGGGAGGCTGGGGAAAGAAACCAGGCTGCGTGGGATTGCATATGGAGCCTGGGGAGGGGCAGAGGCTGGGAAGGCACTAACGGAGCCACCAGGGTGGGAAGGGGACCAGGCAGCAGGTATACAGGGAGCAAAAGATACATGAGACCCCTCTGCGTCTTCTGGTGCAGAAAGGAGGCTGCCGGGCACTGTAGCAATCCCCTAGCCAGGAAAACAATATAGGGCCTAGGAGTTGGGCAAGGAGGGAATCTCAGAATTACAGCCAGGTGCTTGACTGGAGCATCCCTACGGCCCTTTGTTTTCAGTTTTTAACAATTTTTACCAGCAAGTTCCCACGTTTTACAAAAGCTATTATTGGGGTATTCCTGCTTTTCACCCAAATTTTGAACCAGTCAAGTCCATGAACAGACTGAGTAAGTTCAGAACATCCAATCCACTGCAATAGGTCGATGTTTTTCTGTTAATGATACATTAGTCTTGGTGTCAATGTGACGCTGTCGGTGAAAGTCAGACAATGGAGTGGGGAAGATGCACACATACAGACATGTGCCTCCATGTGTACCTACTGCTAACGTACAGTTCATGAAACGAACCAGAGCGTTAAACTGCTTTTACGTTCAATAGTCTTATCTTTCTCTATGTGTTGCTTTTTTTTCTGTCCTCCCGTCCCCCAAAATTAACCCTGATATTTACCCAGAAAACTGTGAAGATAATTTTTTGCACCAGTTTTCACCTGTTTGTTGTTGGGTTTTTTTGTAATAAAAACTGATCAATTCCCAGGAAATGTTAAAATAAAAATTGAAAATGAAGGCCCTTGAGGTATCCCCCAGGCTTCTTAAGGGACAATAGTACCTTTCTCCCTCAGGCAAAGAGAGCTTGCTGAGACTAAGGCCACGTGGTGGCAAGGCTCCCCCCGCCAGACTTAATACAACTACTGCAAAAAAAGCCTCCGGCAGCATGAGCTACGCCAGTTCTTAGGGCGGACGGGCAGCTGTGGAGTGGAACCGCTGCTTCTCTGGAGCCTAGAGAGGAGGATTCCTTACCACTGTGCCCCTGAGGATTCCCAGCAGCACCCAGCAGGGCTGGGACTAGAAAGTACAGATATAACCAGTGCCAAGTACAGTTTGTTCTCTCCACCAGGCCAGGCAGGCTGACAACAAGCCGTGGCAGCTCCAGCACTATGTTTAAAGGCTACTGCTCCAGCAAAAATCTCCACCTACACCTCTTCCTTTGTTCTGCTCAGGGGTCTGCAAACCCGACGGGCTGGGGCTATCGGTCCGGTTCGGCACAAGGATGCGCCACACTCCTTCCCCCACAGATGATGGCGTTGGCCAGGAGTCCCCAAAGGAGCGAAGATGCTGCGGAGAGGGTGGGGAATGTTTTTAATCAAGGCTATCAGCTGAAAATATTTCTACAACCTTAGAACCTTTCTACAAAGGCGCCTCTGCGGGGGAGAGGAGAGGAACATAAGGAGGTGGATTCCCAAAGCAGCAGGGGAAAGAAGGGTGCAGAAATGACAGCCAGTGTTTTATTAACCCTTCACCACCTGCAGGGGCTGGCAAAGACCTTGTGGGCTGCACCTACCAGCCATGGGTAGTAAATAACGTCATTCCTCAGCTCCTGGAGGAGGGGCACCTGGGCTCTGTGGCACCAACGAGTAACCTGAGGGCCATGTTTGATTTATGTGCCATTTAGAAACCAAAGCTAAGCGTTGCCCTCACAAATCGTCTTTGCTCCTCCTTGCATCTGCCTTGATAGACAGCTGGGAATGGCTTGTTGGCAGAGTTTGCCAGCACAACAAACCTGCAGTGGATCAGTGATGGTTTCCCCACTGCGGTTATGCTGCGCTTGCCACCTTTTAAGACATTCTGGGTCACATGTGACCCTTAGGCTGCAGCACTTCAGGGACCCTGGTCCCCAGGCAGAAGATGCTGGGCTACGAGGGTCCACACAGGGGAGGGAGGTGCAGAGAAAGTTGGGGGAGCCTACAGCCTAAGAGCCTGATCCTGCAAACATTTCTGCATGGCCAGACGCATACACCCGAATGGTGCGCCACTAATTGGGGCAAATGTGAGTGGGAAACAGGAGGCTGTCACTCCAGGGTGGGGGCTCCAGCTGTGAGCTCAGTGCCCGGCTGACAGCTGCGGTGGAGGGGCAGGTGTGAGACCAGCGCCAGGCTCAATTTCACAGCACAGATCCTACCAGCAGTGAAATTGACATTCTTGTCAGTTTCATGGCTCCAGCTGTGAGCCCAGCAGTGCTGCTCTGAGCCAGAGGCAGCCATGAAACTGACAAGAATGACAGCCAAGAACTGATGTAAATAACGCAGTGTGTACATGGACACTGCAGCTCCCTAACTACACCGACATAAGTGCTACGTCTCTCATAGAGCTGGAGTTATTATATCGGGATAGCAGGCCACTTACTTTGGTGGAAGCAGCATTCTAGGGCAGACACTGACATAATGAGGTTGACGTAAGCTGCCTTATGTTGACTTAACTCTGTAGTAGACCAAGCCTAAATGCTGGACTTAAGTGCTTAACGTAGCAACTAGACACCTAAGCCCCTTGCAGACCCCAACCTTAGCCTCTCTGTACCTTATCTCCCCATCCGTAAAGTGGGGATAATAGCAGGGATGTTGTGAGGATAAATAGATTAGATTGTGAGGTTCGGATCACCTGCACTTAAGGCAATATATATATAATTAATCATCAGCGTTGAGATATGCACACCCATTCCACCTGCCACTTAGACGGCCAATAGCCATTCAAATCCAGCCAACCAACTGCTGTGCCACATTACAGTCCCACGTGCAGCACACTTAGATTGCTCCCAAGTTGCACTGCCTGTTTACACGCCTTGAATGGCGTAACAGACACACGTCTGAAAAGGCTTTCACCACCATTTCCGAAACTGGCCTACTTAGACTCCCTTTCACCCACTGACAGTTAACTTACATTTACCACCTCACCCAGGAATGTGACAAGTCGCAGGCAGTCCAATTTTCAAAAGTGGCAACTGACTCTGGATGCTGACATTTTTGGCTACCAAACTTCAGATTTCCACAAGTGCCAAACACCCACAGATCCTGGTCCTTTCAGTGCATCCTATGGATCACATGAAAAATCAGACTAAGTTCTCACCCCAAAACTACGATACTCAGAATAATGGATCCACTTTAGAAAATGTTGGCCTTAACTCCTTGTTGTGACCCAGTTTCCCCCTCTGTGAGAGTGTTGTGGAGCTCAGCTAACCATTGTTTGACACAAGCTTTGAGATCCCAGGATGAAAGACGCTACAGCAGAGCAAAGTATTCATTATGTTTATTATTTATTATTTCTATCACAGAAGCACCTAGACACCCCAATCAGGATCAGGGACCCATTCTGCTGGACACTGTACAAACAAAAGTCCCTACCCCAAAGAGCTCACACGTCACCTAAGGCTCACGTCATTTCATCGTTGTGCAGTGTGGAGGTACAGTCACATGTATCAGCCCACTGCTGCTTGTGCCAATCTGTAGCCAGCTAAGATTTTAGAACAGGAGGGACCAGCCAACTCCCTTGTTAGCAATGGGATCCGCACTCAGGGCAGGAGAGGACTGGAAGGTAAATATTCTGGCTTATTCAGACCATGCCCCGCAGTTCTTTGAGGCACTTTGCACACATTGGATTGCTTTCATGGCTCTTTATTTATGGGGTGCCCATAACATTTGGGGTCTCTGGTTAATTTACTAGTTTCTCTGAAGGAGCCAGGATGCCCTCCTTCATACAGAGCAGCAAGGATGGGCATTGGGGGTGGCATGAAAATGAGCTGCAGGGTTTGGTAGCTCAGGGATTTAAGCAACGGGAGTTCATGGGGGTAGAGAAGGCAGCATCTGGGGGGCCGTAGACAGGGTGAGTTTCATGGGGATGAAGCTAATTCCGGCAGTTCAGCAGCAGACAGAGGAAATAGAGAGGGTGAGTTGGGAATTGCACCAATACCACCCTATGCCAGTCAATTGGGGAGGGGGGCGAGAAGGACTCAGCAGCCCAGAAGCATCTCCTAAGACTCAGGACTACATAAAAGCAGGGTGAAAATGAACACTGAATTGCCACGTGAATGACCCTCGACATGCCATACTGTCCCCAAGTCCTGCAGTGCCCAGGAATTCACCCCCAGCTCCCATGATGCATGATACATGTGCCCCCTGAAAGGAGGCAGTTCCTACGGGGTGCCCCCCAATCACCCCTCAATCCCTGGCTATCATGGGGGCTTGCACTTAGAATCCCCACCATACTTTGTGGGTGCTCCCCCTGACTGGCTCCTTCAGGACATGCCAACAGCAACCCCCCCCCCCCATGTCCACCAGAGCCATGCTTTTGAGAATCCAAACAGTCACTTTTGCAATTCCCCACCTTTGGCAGGGCCTGGAAGCCCATTGGGCTGAGCTGGGCCTCGCCTACCTCCCGCTTCTGGAGAGCTGGAGAAACCTCCCCTCCCCGGCTGGCCCCAGGGGGCCCTTTGGAATCTTGCGTTGCCACTTCCCTCTCCCGCTGTTTCCAACATTCTGCCCCCACCCACAGGCTACTTCTGATTGGCCAGGGTGGAGAGTGCCGCTCCTGGATTGGCTTTCTTCAGCTGTCTGTCACGTGCAGGGCAGTCCCTGGCCAGGCTCCGAGTAGAACTTGGCCGGTTGCGCAGGAGGGCAAAGGGCTCCCGGGCGCCGCAGCGAGCAGAAGACGAAAGACCAGGTAAGACCGGGCGGCAGGTGTAGTATTGTAGCCTTGGATACACTTGGCATGTTAAATGCCAGGCTGACTCTCTACTCCAGTTCAGTGCTTGGTTGGGATCTTTGGAACGAACCGTTTCCACTGCACCCAGTTGGGAGATCAGACAGCGCTCTCCAAGGGAGGATCAAACTGTCTGCCCTACAGTCTCTGCTCTGGGGGTCACGGCTGCTGCTCTGTCGGGGAGGATCTGGAGATGTGGGGGCCCCTCAGATTTGCCCTGCCCCTTGTGTAGTTATTTACACCAGTGCAACGTGGGGGTGAACCGCTGCCCGATCCGAATGTCTGCCTTTTGCACTGGCGTACAAACTACACAAACTGCAGGGGGAAGGAAGAATCGGGCCCCTGCTTTTGACCTCCTATCCCTGGTCTCTCCAAGACCATCTCCAAACTGAGAGGGCAGAAAGGCTGAAAAGTACCCAGTTAAGGCTACCCTTTTCTCATCCCTATCCTCATGCATCTGTGTGTGGGAGAGAGACTTTTTAAGACGGGTGGGGAGACCAGTGCTAACAAGACCTGCACTCACACACACACCTTTGCTTTATGTGTATTTGTTTTGATCCCTACCTTCTGTGCAGTTTTTGGGGGGGCGGGGTTTTCCTAGCCTGTAAGCTCTTCGAGGGCAGACACAGCTTCCTATGTCTGCACGGTGCCGGATTCCACCCCTGGAGCTATTATGGATGCGACCATAATAGAAATTAGAAGGGGCATGTGGTTTTCAGAAGCCTGCTCCTGGTAGTGAGGATGCTCCTGAAAGCTCAATTAATTCTTGGTGTGATTGCTTAGTACTGCAGTGCTTGAACTGAAAACATTTTGAGAACCAAGTAATGGGGGACTGGGAGGCAATCCATGGGAGGGTCGATCTCTTATGAAGTGGGGTGGGCTATAGGCAAAGAACTGACTTATTGAGTTCTTGTGGCACCTTAGAGACTAACAAATTTATTAGAGCATAAGCTTTTGTGGGCTACAACCCACTTCTTCGGATGCATCCGAAGAAGTGGGTTGTAGCTCACGAAAGCTTATGCTCTAATAAATTTGTTAGTCTCTAAGGTGCCACAAGTACTCCTGTTATTTTTGCGGATACAGACTAACACGGCTGCTACTCTGAAACCTGTCATTATTGAGTTCTGTTTGCCTCTAATGTTAACACAGACTATGCATCCGAAGAAGTGGGTTGTAGCCCACGAAAGCTTATGCTCTAATAAATTTGTTAGTCTCTAAGGTGCCACAAGTACTCCTGTTCTTTTTACAGACTTTGTGGCTATCCAAAGGATGTCAGCAAGCCAATGACTAAGAGAAACTGAGGAGTGAAACCTTAGGGGCTCTCCAGTTTCCAGGACCTTGAGACCTGCCTGTAACTTTTCTATAGTGGTGACCATCTGGCATAGGCATGATACAGACATTCAGTATTTCTGCAGTAGGATAATAGTAGGGCCTGAAAAATGGTGGTAGCTATATATGCCTAGAGTTGATGCTTTAGACACTACCTTCCAAGGGAAGAAAAAGCAACTAATTACACAAGGCTCTGCTAGAAACCTTACAGGGCATCCAGCTATGCTAATTATTAAGCACTGACAACATGCTCTGTGCTGCACAAGATACAAATAGAGTCCCTGACCTAAAAGATTCAGAGTAAACAAGATAGACAGTAGACAGGATGCAATGAGAAGCCCAGAGCACAGTCTGACTCTCTACTCAACCCATTCGGGTCGTTTACATCAGAGGTTCTCAACGAGAGGTCCAAGGCCCCCTGGGGGGCCGTGAGCACGTTTCAGAGGGTCTGCCAAAATAAACCAGAAAGCAGGGCTGGCATTAGAGTCACTGGAGCCCAGGTACGAACGCCAAAGCCTGAGCCCCACCCCCACCCCCCACTGCCTAAGGCCAAAGTTGAAGCCTGAACCCTGCCGTATGGGGATGAAGCCAACTTAGCTTTGCGGAGCCCCCTGTGGCGTGGGGCCTTGGACAGTTGCCCTGCTGGCTATCCCCTAATGCTGGCCTTGGCTTTTAATCTGCTGGATATGCAGAAAAACATTTGTTGTGGCACGAAGTTTTTATAGCGTTGGGGAGGAGGGCTCAGAAAGAAAAAGGTTGAGAACCCTTGGTTTCCCTCATGCACAGCCTCACACCATGTTACAAAACTCCTTGGACCAACGTTTTCAAAGGCAGCCAGTGACGTTTATGTTTTGTGGGTGCATCAATTTTGGGGGGCCGGGGCAAGACCTCTTGGGTCTGATTGTCAGAGAAGCTGTGGAGCCACATCTCCCAGCAATTCTGAAACCTAAGGCCCAAAGTGTCTCAAGTTGGGAATCACTGGCCACTTCTGAAAATGTTGGCCGGGACGCCTCTTCTGATCACAATGCACTTTACCACCAACTCTTGTTGTTAGCGCCATGTTCCAGACAGCGAATCTGAGGCACAGTGTTTAGTTACCCAGCAAGTCAGTGGTAGAACTGGGATGGGAACCCAGGACACCTGACAGAGTCAGGTGCTTTAACCACAAGACCACACACCCATTCACATTCTTTCTAGTGTTCCCTCCTCCCATCCAAACTATTAACCCTTGCTGTCTCTCATAAAAGAGTCATTAGCTATCCAGTCTACCTAGTTTCCTAGTTCCTATTGATCAATCAGTCCTTGCCAGTTGGAGGAGAGAGGCTGGACTTCAAAGATTACTTGAATGCGGGAAGCAGATTTCCAGACTGATGAGATCCCAGATTTCTATTTGCATAAGAATGTAGCAAATAAAGCTGACATACCCAGCAGCAAACGCGAGCAGAACCTGTTTCCACATGTAGGTAAAAACTACTTTGCACCCAAGCCATCTCCTGGCTCACACAAGCAAGTCACATTCAGGCTGATAAAGCAATGGAAGCAGCTTAGTCCTTACCTTGATAAGCAGAACCTCATGTGGTCTTGAGCAAACATCTGGCCGATCCTCTGCAGACAGCAATGTCCAGAATGTGCTGAATTGGGAAAGCAGGCTGGGGTATTCCACAAGGGCAGACTGGCCTGTCTGAAAGAGGCCCTCCTCCAGCTAGGATCAAACACTTTTGTTGCAACAGTAAGTCATTTCAAAGGGGTGAACGGGCTTCTGGTCTCCGCAACCAGATGGAAGTTTCAGCACTGAACACTACAGTATTGACCTGTATATACAAGGAAAAAAAAAGGTCTTGAGATACCAGTGACCTGATTTTTTCCCCCCCTAGAGGTACTGAGCACCTGCAATATCCACCGATGTCAATGAGAATGTGAGGCTGCTCAGCATCTCTGAAAAATCAGGCCGCAGCATTACAAGGGCCTGCCTACGCTGCAGATACTGGCGCTGTAACAAGGGCTGGTCCCACCTACGCAGGCACGTGCAAACCGTGTTTTAACACGCTCATGCCCCAAGCACCGTGTCACTCACATATGAAAACTGTACCAAAACCAGGCCTGTCATGTCTAGTTTAACACCAGCAGATCTCCTTTAACGCCAAAGGAGCTGATCCTGATTTCCACCAGCGAGAGTGAGAGGAAACTTGGTTTTTCTCAGGCTGCCCAAGGAGTGAGGTGTTCTGTCCTTGCTCGTTGACACGCTAATTAGGAGACAATCTTACAGTGCAAGATTTTAACTCTAGAGTAACCCAGACTCCAAGGCCAGTGAGATATAGTGCAAAAACAAAGTGCATTTCCAGACTGAAAACAAAAACTAATTGTGGGCAAGAGCTACCCTACCTGGTGTTGCATCATCTGTGGGCTGGGTGGGTGGGTGGAGGGGCGGGGAGGTCCCTTTGACAAATCCTGCAGGCTGACTCAGCCTAGCCTTTGACAACAAACCAGCCTCCTGAAAGTGTAACCACTAGCTGCTAGTCACGTGCGTCCTGTGAGCAGCTTATTGATTCCTGGTACTGGGCCTTCACCACTCCCAGGCCCTGCCTACATTAGGAAAACTTTCTACAAATTTCCCAGACTGGCTAATACTGAGGTTTGTCTTCACAGCAGAGTTAGCCCGAGCCCTCACCTGGGTGTTGCCCCAAACCCCCCTCCCATCCACACACAATCTTCTCACCCGAGTAGGGTGTTATTTTCAACCCAGGCAAACTGGCCTGCCTGGGTGGTAGGTGGGTTAGAGCCCAGGTGCTACTTTCCCCGGGGCTGGTAACTAGCCACTTTGCCGTGAGGATGCGGGATAAACCACATGAGTGCCGACAGTCCTCCGGCACCTTCCCACCATTCCCCCACACCGCGTGCCCAGAAGGACAGACAAGTTCTCCCACAACTCACTGGGAAAGTATCCTAGAGTGTCTCAGCTCAGTGTGACACAAAGACCCATGCACACTGGGCAGCACAGCGCCAGTGAGGAGGACACAGGAACGGGGCTGGGCTTTGCTGTGGTGCTGGGGTAGTGCCAATCACCAGGGCCAGCTCAGCAGTGCAGACAGACCCTGGTGCCGTTTCGCCAGGGTAGGTGTTGTTTAGATTGTGGCAGTGCCCTAATGGGCCCCTTATTCAGGCACCCTCTTGCGCAAGGTGCTGTACCCACATAAACGGAAAGCCCCACAAGCTTAGCAAGCAGCGCTGGCTGGGGCAGGTGGAGACAGCTCGCCAGATGCTGCCACCAGTGTTAACACTCATTATTTGTACGGCGGTGGAGCCTAACCGGGCCCAATTCAGGATCGAGGCCCCATTGTGCCAGGTGCTGTACATACACAAAACACAGTCTTTAGCCCAAAGACTTCACCGTGCCATGTAACTCGGCTCAGAGCCGGTCTAACTGGTGCAGAATTAAAAATGCCAGGGCAGCCAGAAGTCCATCCACACTATGTGTGTTAGACTTAAATACCACAGCCCAGAGGCATGCGCAAGGGAGGGGGGGGCAAGCCAATCAGCAGGGGCACAGAACTCCTCTGACCCCGGGGCCGCTGGGGAAGGGGGAGGAGGCAGCTCCTCCAGCCACGGGGGGCACAGAAAGTGCCCCTCCAAAAGCAGCCAAATTGTTATTCCTGCCGCTGCCACAGCCCGTGCCCCCCAAGAGCCCAGTCCACCAGCTCCAGGGTCCCAGTTCAGGGCAGCACTTAAGCACACTGGAGTCACATCGACTTCGGTGAGACTTAAGGATGAGTCTAATTTGACAACGTGCACTTAAGTACGCTCCTGAATTGGGGCCTCGGGGCTCTGACCGTTGGTTAGAGACTGCTGCAATGGTTGCCATAAAACGTCAACCAATAACAACCGGGTAGCTGGTTGGTAAGGCCGCTGATAGCGATATCGTGTATCTTCTTCAGGCTCCCCTAGCTGTGTGCATAGCTAGCTTGTCCTAACACATGCGGTCTTCAAGGATTCTCTTGTTCTCCTTTCCTCAGCTTCTTCCTACTGCTTACATAGCAACTCCCACGGACAAAATATATTAACTGAACCAGCCAGCAAGTCAAGGCAGCAGGATATACCCCCCTCCCTCTCCACTCCACCCCATGCACACACAAAGTTCTAAGACGTCCAAAGTTGCTATTGCTGGTGAAGCTGAACTGGTGCTAGCAGTGACGGGAAATGTGCTAAAGCATGCCTAGAGTAGGCAGAGCTGCGGCGAGAGAGACTCCAAGATCAGAGGACTGTGTCGAATGAGCCTTGAAACAAACATGGCAGTCACTGTTACTAGTTCATCAAATTGTTAAGGGTGGAAGTGCCTGCCACTGTGTCAGCATCTCTGTTAGGCGATTGGCCCTTGTGTCTCTCTCTCATGGGCGTTAAGGTTTTGCCAGGGTGCTCTCAAACGCTGCATCCTGTTGGGAAATAGACCGAGACATGGGGAAACCCAGCTTAATGTCAGAATCAATGGGGGGAATCTGAGCTTTTCAAAGCTGTTGTTAAGCAAGTTCAGTTGTCTTAAAAATAGAACTTTAAACACCATTGTCATTATATCATGACAATGAGCTAACCAGGTTTCCAAAATTAGAACTCTGAAAACCTGCCTTCCCCACTCATTCCACGGCTAAGATGCAGTTTCTCTCTTGCAACAGTCACCGTCAAGATGACATATTGGATTGTTAATTCTCATCTTTACAGTTAAGCTTGGAAGGATTCGATTTTTATCGGTAAATGTTGATAAACGTCAATTCCACCGTACACACCCAAACCCATGAAAACATATTTACGTCAAGGATGATCAAAATTTACAGATCGGCAAAATAAGAAAAATGGTGCTTGAGAATGTATGAGTTTGATTTAAGGCTATTGACTTTGTATAGTTTGACATGTGATGTTGCCAGTTTGCGTTTTAATGGTTATAAAGCTTTAACTTTTTGAATCTCAGTGTCTGCTGTCATTAAATAATTATTGTCTGAACCCCCCTAATTTCCCACAACCATGAAAATTTAAATGGATAAAAATCAAAAAATGCTTAAAAATAAAAATCTATATTATCCATCAAAATTCTAAAATAAATACACCTCAAATTAATTTAATTTATAGCTCAGTGGTTTGAGCATTGGCCTGCTAAACCCAGGGTTGTGAGTTCAATCCTTGAGGGGGCCATTTAGGGATATGGGGCAAAAATCTGTTGGATGATTTAATTGGGGATTGGTCCTGCTTTGAGCAGGGGGTTGGACTAGATGATCTCCTGAGGTCCCTTCCAACCCTGATATTCTATGAAATCTATGAAATCTAAAGATTAATTATAGTAAGATGAGGAACAACATGCAGTGACACAAGCCATCATCTTCTGCAAGGTGTAAGCTTTTATTCAAGCATCCTATACTTTATAGTGGCAGAGAGGACATTCAGAACATGACACTGATGCCTGAGTATCTCTGTCTTCTAGACAGATATATCAGGCCTAATATGAGTAAGAACTGCCCCAATTCATCTCACTGGGGCGCTAACTCTGATGTCTAAGAAATTAATGTATCCACGCCATTTCAGTGCTGCTTATTTTAGTAAGAACATCCAGCTGACTTGGGATGGTGGAAGAAGGTTGGGTAGATTGATATTGCTTCCCTCCTACATGCACATTCTGATCCCTGGTAAAGATTCACATTAACTCATGAAATCTCTATGACTTGACGGAGCTATTAGAATAACTTCACATTCTTCTTGTAAGGAATAGGAAGCAGGAGCGGCTCTATGTTTTTTGCTGCCCCAATCACAGCAGTCAGGCGGCTTTTGGCGGCGCGCCTGCGGGCGGTCCCCTGGTCACACCGATTCGGTGGCATGCCTGCGGGAGGTCCGCCGGTGCTGCGCCATCGGCGTCCCCGCCGGCGAATTGCCGCCGAATCCGCGGGACCAGCGGACCTCCTGCAGGCATGCCGCCGAAGGCTCCCTGACTGCCGCCCTCACAGCGACCGGTAGGCCGCCCCCCGCAGCTTGCTGCCCCAGGCACGCGCTTGCTGCCTTGGTGCCTGGAGCCGCACAATAGGAAGAGGAGCTCTGAAGTTCCTAAGATGTGGTGGACAATAATCCAAGTGCATGTGGCGTTATACTGTCCACCAGCTGTTCCTGGTAATATCAGAAGGCTAACTCATAATGTTGTAACTGTTCTTTTTCTCTCCTTTCAGTTGCATCCGACTTCACAATGGCATCTGAAAACAAGGCCACGAATACTGGCCCGCCAAAGGCTGAAGAAGAGCTTCAAGTGGTAGGTAAATCACAGGTAGCTAGTATTACAAAGTGTAATCCTCAATTCACCTGTCAACAGGTGCTTCAGCGCACTAACTCATCCCAGCATCCAGGCAAGAGAGGAGTCCAGCCACACACATTGCTTTGAGGCTCTAGTTTAATATGGAGAATGCAGTTTCCTCTTGCTCGGGAGAGGGCGGTAACTTCATGTGTGGGGGGAGCGCCATAAGGCTGAAATTTGGGAGACCGATCTGCCATGGGTTCCAGTGCTAAATCCAGGTAGGGTGATGTTAAATCAGTACGTGACTGACAAGAAGCATGGTCCTGAGTTCTACTCCCTGCTCTGTCACTGACTCCTGGTGTGGCCCTGAGAAGATCCCTTCACCTCTCTGTCACTGCACTTGAGCAGATAGAGGACAGAGTGGTTTCCATAAAGACCGTCTCTAGGAATACGCATGGCTCAGACTACAGTTTATATTCACCCGCCAGCCACAGGATCTGCACCTAATGTCACTTCTTCTTTCCTTTGCTCAGAACATAGTAAACAGGGTGGCCAGCTTGCCCTTTATCAGCTCTGCCTACAACCTGGTCTCCTCTGCTTATAGCTACACCAAGGGGATACATCCGTACATCAGCAACATCTGCAGCGTGGCAGAGACCGTGGCTGCCATGGCAGTGGGCAGCGCAGTTGGTGGCGTGCAGCCAATTCTAAGCCACCTGGAACCTCAGAGTGAGTAAACACTGAGACAGGCGATTCCTCCCTTGCGCGGGGGTGGGAGAACCCTCATGGGACATCTCAGACTACACTGCATGGCCGAAGGGTGGGAGGGCTCAGGACACAGACCAGCAGGGAAGACTTGTTTAACAGGAGAGCTGCATTGGGTAGCTGACTCATTCTCTCATCCCAGCACTTTAGTCCCATGGTGTGAATGCCCCAGCTGCTGAGAGTATTGGCAATGTGGTTAAGGTCTGTTTGTGATGCCCAGTATGGAGCAGGAAGAGAAAAAACAGCTTTGGGTTTAACACCCTTCCTACTGTACGTGCTCCTCAACTAGCATCTGAGTTATTTCCAAGTCATATAGGGATATTATAAAGAATAGCCAACAAGGATTTGTGAAGAACAAATCATGCCAAGCCAACCTTATTTCCTTCTTTGACAGGGTTACTGGTCTAGTGGATGGGGAGAAGCTGTAGGCCTGATATATTGTGATTTTTAGTAAGGCTTTTGACACAATCCCACATGACATTCTCATAAGCAAAGTAGGGAACTATGGACTAGATGAAATTATTACAAGGTGGGTGCAGAACTTGTTGAAAAATCATACTCAAAGAGTAGTTATCAATGGTTTGCTGTCAAACTGGGAGGACGTATCTCATGGTCAGTCCTGGGTCCCGTACTATTCAATATTGTCATTAATGACGTGGAGAATGGAGATTACGCTTATAAAATGTGTGGAATGCACCAGGCTGGGAGGGGTTGCAAGCACTTTGGAGGCTAGGAGTAGAATTTAAAACCACCATGACAAATTAGAGAATTGGTCTGAAATCAACAAGATGAAAGTCAATAAAGACAAGTGCAAAGTACTACACTTTAAGAAGGAAATTCAAACGCAAAACTACAAAATGGGGGCTAACGGGCTAGGCAGTAGCACTGCTGAAAAGGATCGGAGGGTTATAGTGGATCACAAATTGAAAGTGAATTGACACTGTGATGCAGTTACGAAAATGTCTTATACCATTCTGGGGTATATTAATAGGAGTGTCATAAGTTAGACACGGGAAGTAATTGTCCTGCTGTACCCCGCACTGGTGTAGCTTCAGGTGGATATTGTGTCCAATTCTGAGTGCCACACTTTAGGAAAGATGTGGACAAACTGGAGAGAATCCAGAGGGGAGCAAAAAAACGTGATAAAAGGCTTAGAAAACCTGACCTATGAGGAAAGGTTAACAAAACGGGGCATGTTTAGTCTTGAGAAAAGAAGACTGAGGGGGGAACTTAATAAGTCTTCTGTTATAAAGAGGACAGTGATCAATTGTTCTCCATGTCCACTGAAGGCAGGACAAGAAGTACTGAGTTTAATCTGTAGCAAGGGAGAGTTAGGTTAGATATTAGGAAAAATTTTTGAACTATAAGAATAGTGAAGCGCAGGAACAGGCTTCCAAGGGAGGGTGTGGAATCCGCATCACTGGAGGTTTTAAGAGCAGGTTGGACAAACCCCTGTCAGGGTTGGTCAAGGTTTACTTGGTCTTGCATCTGCGCAGGGGACTAGACTTGATGACCTCTCGAGGTCCCTTCCAGCCCTATGATTCTATCTCCTCTCACAGCCATATTTCCCATCCACCTTAGCTAACTCTTTCCAACAATAGCTGGGCTTGC